AATTATACTAAGACCCTAAGAATTTGTTAAGCTTATCAATAAGTTACTTCATGATTAGACTTGAAAGAACTGATTGAACTCAAGGACCCCCCCCCCCCCCTTCCTCTTCTCACAGTCACATAACAATGAAACACATCCCTTAGTCATACTAATATAATAATATCATGATTCTAACTAAATGGACAAACAGTAACAAGGTATATATAGATCTAGATCTGTATAGATCTAGATCTAAGAGTTAAGGGCAAGTCATTTTTATGGTGACTTTTATTAACTTTGTAACTTTGTTACATTCCATTCCTGAAAAACATATTTGCACCAGAGTAAAGACAGCTGACTCTAGATCTCAAATAGATAGAGGTTCTGATTGAAACCAGTATCATCACTAATTTGTATGACAACAGCCTTACAGACAGCGCTCTTAACACCCCCCCCCCCCAAAAAAAAAAAAACCAACAACAATACAAACAAACAAAAACAAGCCTTGTGAATTAGACGCTAGATATGAGCCCTGGCTATTCTCATCTCTAATTCGGACACTAGAGAGATCTAGATTCTAGATCTACTTGCCTTACAAAAGATTTTCGGAGATTAGGCTAGAAAGATAAGGACGGGAAAAAAGAGTCAAAGAATAGTGTCTGGCTGGGGCAACAAAAGACTGTAGATCTAGATCTAGATCTAGATCTAGATTCTAGATCTAGAATGAAAACAAGACAAAACAGCAGATTAATAGAGAGGCTATTCTAGCCTATACTAGATTTAGATCTAGATCTAGAATCTAGATCTAGATCTAGATCTACCTAGAATCTATACAACGTACGCCGACTCAAATTTCAATACTACAGATTCTTTGGAGACAAGACTCTACCCCAGTAAGTTCATGTGATAGTTTCTTAATTCTAATACTAATATAATATATTTTAGATCTATGCCATGCATTAAATAAATAAATACAAACCAACTTCACTACTGTAAATTTACAACCAAGGAAAGGTTCCGCACTCTCAAGTCAGCAACGTTAATATGCTCACTGATTGTATTCAAGGCCAGGGTCCTCTCTCTTTTCCAAGACACCGGCGCAACGGTGCCAAGTTCCGAGATCAAACGGGAGCAGTCGAACCTGTTTACTTCAAGAACCTCTGTCTATCATTCAATTCGTACAATCACAACATTATTAGATCTAGATCTTCCTACCTTTTCGAGATGACAATCTCTCCAAATAAAATTCTTAGAACCAAACACATAAATCCCCAAATCAGAATAAAACGAAACCACCATAGAACAGCCCGAGCTAGCGCAGTAAGTAAACACAAACCAGCACTGCTCGTTCGTACTGTAGGCCTACGCCCCGCCTCAACATTCAAGCTTCCTCCCCGCTGGTGGCAACACCCATAAACAATCCCGGCAGATGGCGCGCTGGGGTGTATTTTTAACTTTTCTTTCCTTCTTGTTTCCTTTCGACATTTTGTAGCATGTAATTCGAATAAATACGCGAAGCGTGACATAATAACAATGAATAAAAATAGATCTTATTAATATTTGCTTCACATCAAAATACACGTATACCAAATTTTATCTATTTCACGGAGACAATCATAAACTTGTTTATATACATGTACATACATGAGTGAAAAATGACTATTTCATTTATGAGTTTAACAGTGATGTTAAACTGTTTAGCGTGGTATTGATGGTACATTTACATGTATAAAGACCCACCCCCTTTTCCCATCAGTATTTTCGACACGTTACATCAACCTCTTACCAAGAAGCGTACAATGATTTCATAATGGTTTATCGGAAGAACTTCAACCGCGTTCGGAAACGACTTCATTTTGGCCTTCTCTTTCGGGCCATTGTTAAATTATCTCTCAGGTACCTGTTCGTATCATAGTGTCTACCCTACCTTTCAACGCCCGTTTATGATAGGACGTGTTGATAGTTCCCTTTCAGAGAGTTAATATTATTATAGATTCTCTACGGTCTTCCGGCTTTCTTTACCTCGCTATTATCTCGATTTGTGTGTGTGTGTGTGTATGTGTGTGTGTGTGTGTGTGAGAGAGTGTGTGTGTGTATGTATGTGTGTGTGTGTGTGTGTGTGTGTGTATGTGTGTGTGTGTGTGTGTGTGAGAGTGTGTGTGTGTGTGCTATTTTTGTGGGAGGGGGTGAGAGAGAGAGAGAGAGTAAGA